GAATAGAGAAGAATATATTTTGAAGAAAGCTTGAAATCATTGACAACCACAATAGAAAACACAAATACAATGGAAGTCAATGGTTAGAGGCTTCTAGCTTTCTTCAAAATATCTTCTTTTTTGAAAATAACAGAAGAAGGAGAGTCAAGGGTGAGTAAATGATGACAGAATTAGTAAAGTATCTCTTTATGATTTTTTTTCTCAATTTCCAAGTCAATCAATGCATATTTTCATGAAAAAAATCATGCTGTGAATAACTTAAAATTAAAAAAAAATTATACCTAACACAATATTATAGATTAAATTTAACAGGTTTATAAACATATGTTCAGTTACAAGTAATTATGCATTTTAAAAATGACAGAAACCTTAAACGTTTCCTTTGTAGACAATAAAAAAGTCTATTTGTTTAGAAGGAAATGAATAATTTTGTGCTACAAGTTCAAATGAAATTGATCAAAAGTGACAGAGATAAATTCTATTTCAATTAATTATTTTTTTTTTTTAAACTTTAAATTAATTAAAGTATTCTAAAATAAAATAAAAATAAAAATGTTTTAAAATATACCAATAGTACTTCTGAGTCTCAAAGCAGAATATTGAAATGAATTCTGGTGATATATATATGATCATGACATATGATATATGAATATGATTTCTGATAATCGAACACTGGGAGTAATAATGATAAACAATCAGCATTGTGTCAGAAATAAATTAAATTTAAAAAGTACTTTAAAACAGAAAGCATATTTTAAATCGTAATACTATTTGACAAATGTAATTCTTTTAAATGTAAACGATTTGATGTGAATTAGAGAAGTATTTTATTCAAAACGTTAACCAAAACACAAAGTATTTCAAATAAACTCAAAAGTGTTCAATTCAGTGACATTCAGACATTCATATTTATAACTTAAGTGTCTTTTCAATTAGTTTTCAGCTCATCTCAATACTAACCACATATAAGGCGGTGACCAGAGTCAGTTGTATGGCATCATTAATGACCATGCAGATAAACATAATATAGCGTGGATCTTCATAGAAGAAGCTGTGCCTGCGGAAAGTGGACACCATACTGCAGTTGAGGATACTGAGCGCCAGCCATACAAGCATGGCCATGATGTTTTTGGTGAGAGCAGCGCTGAAGCTGTCTCGTGGTACAACATTCACGGGGAGTAATGTAACGTTACTGTATGAGAAACTGCTGGAGTTCATGATCTCAACCTGTAAAGATGAAGCACAGATTGCAGACAGTATTTATACAGCGCACAATATAAAGAATAAGACAGGCTAAACATTCTGCATTGAATCATTCACCCTTTAATTAGATAGTAGTGAAAGAAATCTAAAAAGATGTGCAAAAATAATGGATTGTGAAGTCAAATGGCTGTATAAGAAATGATAATACCTTTACTGTATATGCAACAAGATGCATGTTTTTCTATCGCACAGGCTTACTTGCACAATTACATAAGAACATGTCGTCACCCTTGAATTATAAGGTTCTGTCTGACATTTTTGTTAAAATTGAGTTATTGACATATTCTTATTAAATGACAACTTATTTACATTATTACATTTTTTTTGTTTAAGTTGTTTACATCTTAAGACCTTTAAAAACAAATGTTACACACATACTGTTTGCTATGGAATGCAAAAACTTCAACATCTCAAAATCTTTCAGAACACATATAGAACCTTATAATTCCAAGGTGACGGTGTAGCTATATAATTATAAATGCACCAAATGCCAGAGCATTGAATGATATTACAAAATGCTTCATTTTAAGATTATTAGAGTATAAAGGTGTTGGTTATAGTTCAAATCCCTCTTACCTAAAAGCCTGCTGCTCTGTCTGGTGGTCCAGGCCTATGCTAAATCTTATATACTGTATGGGTGTGATAATTATCAAGGTAGTGATTGGACAATACATGAAAACCCTTCAGGGGGTTGTCATTGCACTCCATACTGATTTGTTTGTTAAAACCAAGAATGTAATAGGAGATATAAACTGACACATTAACCTGAATTGAGTAATGTGTATTAGATGAAAAAAAAAAAAATATATATATATATCATTTGGGTATTACTTCTACTACTATTTATTTTATAATTGTGGCACTGTAAATAAATAAATGTCTCCGCTGTGTCCTAAAGGTGAGAATGACGGCCGTTATCCCAAATACATGTATCATTTCTTCAAAAAAAAAAACTGTAGAGTTGAACATGTGAGGTAGTAAAAGCTTTTTATTCATTTAATGTACTGTAGATCGGCTATGAAGTGCGCATTTGTATCATCAATGAGTGCTGGTGAAATGGATATAAAAAAACAACACAGAGAGGTAATTTGCTACACAATCTCACAGCAATTCGTAACTTTTTGATTTAGTGCCTAATTCGTATGAATTCGTACGATCTAATTTGTACAATTTACAGTAGTACAATTTGCTCATCCCCCCAATGTCGGTTGGGTTTAGGGGTGGGGTTAGGTGCCACGCCTCCTTTTTAAAATCTTAAAATTTCGTACGACTAAACTTGTACGAATTTGTACGAATTATCCACTAAACTGGCAAAATGTAAAATACATTTTCTCGTGAGATCAGGTTAAAACAAACACATTATTGCGCTAAAGCTTACCTTTTATAACACAACCCTGCTAAAAAATCCAGCTTAAACCAGCCAACCAGCTGGTTTAAGCTGGATTTTTCAGCAGGGAAAAACAACATCACGCAGGCATATTAATACAGTGTGTCAGTTAAATCAGTCGACGGTTGAAATTCTAAATTTTAAACCAACTGGTTGAGTTATGCTATACATAACCAAATAAAGGTGATAAATAACCCAACAAAGCACCAAATATTTAACCCAACTAGTTGAGTTATTAATAAATAACCTAATAAGGGTTAAAAATAAGCCAACAAAGCACTAAATATGTTTAACTCAACCATTTGAATAAATAACTTAACGTTTTTTAGAGTTTAGGCAAATTGATCATTGGTGGAAAATTGATTATTTTTTGGAAGAAACTAGATGTTTTTAACAATATTACTTGTAATTCATAGTTGCAGCATAATGTTCTAAATATATAATATTCTGATAGTCTGATTATTTAATAAACTGTTTATCACTCTGATAAAATATTTCTGAAGAATGATTAAATACATTTATTGTGATAAATAAATACAATTCCGGGATGCTGTTATTACTTTTAGATGAAATCGAAATATAAAAATGCTTATAGACTGTTCCGTGACATTTACACCCAGAACAATTGAATGATTTTACTGTATGTATTGGTAAAAGCAGATTTTGAAGGTGAATATATGCTAGAGCTACCTTTTTATAGTATCAAACTAATAGACAAATTCATATATAAATGTATACCACCAGATCAACAGTGATATTGTCTGTATAAGTGTCAACAATGAGATTTTGTGTCCACAGCAAATTAATTCATAATGTTAATTCATTTTATTCATTCATTCATTTTCCTTTCGGCTTAGTGCCTTTAATAATCAGGGGTCACCACTTATCTACCCATCACAGGAAAACATGCGTACACACTCATTTACACACTTAGTTAGTACAGACAGTTTAGCTTACCCAATTCACCTGTACCGCATGGAGTTGTGGGGGAAACCGGAGCATGGACTTGTGGGGGAAACCGGAGCACCCGGAGGAAACCCACGCCAACACAGAGAGAACATGCAAACTTTACACAGAAACGCCATCTGACCCAGCCAAGGCTCAAACCAGCGACTTTCTTGCTGTGAGGCGACAGTGCTAGCCACTGAGCCTCCCTAATACAATTTATGTTTCAAATTGTTGTAAAATATATTTTTGGTGCTGCACTGTGATTATTAAATAATATTTCTTTTAATATGCTATCAAATGATTCTTGCTCACATGAATGATTATTTTTACACTGAATTAATTGGGTGAATTAAAGCTGCACAACAGAACTTTCAAAACTATCATTTTAAAGCTTGTTTTTGCATGTAAATCTATGAGATTAATTCTCAAATATATGAAAAACATCCCACTGTTATATTGTTGGCACTAGGAGTCGCTGTGAAAATATTGAGATAGAGAGTTTTGTAGGAAGTGAAGAGTGTATGGTGGTGACAGTTGCACGTGGATTAGAAAGAGTTCATTTTGAGTTACATCTGCCTTGTGTTTATTATTCAGTTAACGGACATAACAAATTAGCGACGAGCATGCTAAACCTCAGATTATCCTCAGATTATGTGGAGTCACTGATTGGACCCAAGACCAGCGACGAGATGATCCCAAGGTGTCCATATCCGGGACCAGGCCATATCCTGAGCTGCTGCTGCGCTGTTGGTCATGGGGGAGTGGAGAGCATGAGACTGATTCCAGTGACGCTCCAGGGACAGACGAGTCTTCGCTGAGGCCATCTTCCAGCCTCCACTGCTGAGACTGCAGCTCTGCACAAGACTTTTGGCCAGCTGAGAAATTAAAATGGTTGTGCCGAACTGAGTCTGGTTCTCTCAAGGTTTCTTTTCTTCACTCTCCTATTGGTGAAGTTTTTTTTCCCTCTCCGCTGTCGCCACTGGCTTGCATGGTTCAGGATCTGAAAAGCTACTCATCGATGAATTTGCTCTTCAGTGTTTGAACTCTCAGTAATGACTTCAAACCACACTGAACTGAGCTAAACTGAACTGAACTTAAACACTTAAAACTGAACTACCCTGATCCAGTTACTATGACCATTTATGTGAAGCTGCTTTGACACAATCGACATTGTAAAAGCGATATACAAATAAAGCTGAATTGAATTGAATTGAAATAATATTTTCTGTCTTTTAGTAAAGATATAGTAGAAATAAAGTAAATCTAACTGGATTTGCAATTTAAACATTAAATAAAAGTTTTAAATGTATTACTTTTTATTTCACATGTTAAGGTTTTTGTTATGATGCTCCCAAAATAATTCTGCAGAAATCCGCAGATTTTTATCAAAATTCTCCTCAGAAATAGCAAAAAACAAGTCCGCAGATTCCGTCTGGTCCTAGGTATTAGTAAGGTATTAGTAAATAAATAAGTTATAGCAACTAATAACCTTAGTTGTCTGAATTTCATTGCAATGCAATAATGTGCACCTTTTGTAAAGATGCCTTGAAACAGTTATTGCGGAAAGTGCTATACAAATAAACTTGAACTGAATTAAATCAAATTGATTAGTATTTTTGATTTGATCTTTAATCTCCATCTTTACACTCAACTCTTGTTTCCATTGTAGAAACGCCACAGACAAAATACCTCCTCAGATACTTGCGGAATTTCTTATCCCGCACGCCATATATGATCGGACTCAAAAAGCGTGGCAGAATGTAAACGATCAGATAGTTGGCGAAACGGATCTCCAGAACGCGTCCTGGGAAGATGATGTTCAGTATTCCTTCCACGCTTGGGGAAATGTAGGAGAGCAAACACATGATCAGCTGCAGCCCGTGAAGAAGGATGGTGTTGGTCGCCCGTTTGGCGGATGTGTTCTCGGTTGAATGCGAATGCGCTGTGAACATGATCTTTAAATACGTGCACAGGAGCGTCAGGAAAACCAGCGAGAAATAAATCCCGTCGAACGCCTGCCGTTTATAAAGCAACACCGGGTCTTTAAACACGTTTTGCCGGAGACAGAAAACTGACGTTTGGAAGAAACTCAGTGGTTCTGTGGCTAGAGTCACAAAGAGGTCAGTGATATCAGGAACTACAGATACAAACCAAATAACACCTATGAGCACGTAAGCACGATGTACAGTGCAGATCTGAGCATGTCGTAAAGGATAACAAATCGCGATATATCGCTCGATAGCCATGCCGGCTAAGTTAACAGGCGTGCTACGGGTTGTAAACACGGCCACCAGGATGAAGAAACAACACACTCCCACACTGATAGTATACAAGATGTAGCTGACCAAGAATAGAGCGATGGTCACAGTGAGCTGAACGGCGTCATTAATGACCATGTGTATGAAGAGTATATAGCGAGGGTCCTCGTAAAAGATCTGGTGTCGGAAGAAAGTAGCCACTACGCTGCCATTGATGTAGCTGAGAAGAAACCACACCAAAACTACGATGAAGTTCTTCATGAAGGCCATGGCGAACGTGTCTCTCAGGAGGAGCTGCTGGCCTGCTGTTGAATTCATCACTCACGTCTGAAGAGGAAGAGACTGGAGAAAAGGCATTAGTCAGATTCTATCTTGTTATTCTTTTTGAATGGTTTATTATAGTATAGATGCAGTAAATATGCGGTAAACATGTTCATTGGGGAACTAACATTTGTAACTGTGATTAATAACAGTTTTACTACAGACATCATGGTTAAACTATGCTCACTGCACTGTAAATGAGCAGTTTTCTGTATTTTGTGATTTATGTTTGTATTTTTTCTTGTTTATTTATGCTTTTAAGTTGCATTATGAGAGCTTGATCTTTCTTTTAACAATTTTAAACCTTGAAAAGTTAGAAAAAGTGACTTTTATTAACATTTTTATTAGTTTAAAGTGATATATTGTCTGGGTTGGTGTTGTTTATTATGGTACAAACAGCTTGTAATAGACTGCCAGTACATTTCATTTATTTTACAGACTTATTTCTCGATATATAATTTATTACACAATATATTATTCCAAACTAAAATGTCAATAAAAGTATCTTTGTTAAACAGCAGAGTTGAATTTTCAACATCAAAAGTCAACAGAGCAGAGATCAAGATCCCGAAATGCAACTTACAAATGTAATTAAAAGGAAAAACAATCACAAAATACAGAAACTTTGAATTAACAGATATTTTTTACAGTGTGTAAAATAATTCCACCATTAAGCATTGTGACATTTGCTGTAAAAACTTAAATAATAAATTCACAAAGAGTGTATATGTCATATTAAAACATGTTTAAATTGTCAACTAAAACTAACCAGAGTTAAAGGATTGGAAATATATCATTCTGTAAACAAGTTCATATTTTTAATGAAGCAAAATGTCATGTAATATGGATGTTTGCGAGTTTGCAATACACAACATACTTAGCAGACATTCTGTAAACTGCTCAACCTTAAAAGAAGCAATGTTAATCGAAAGAATAAGAGTTGGCTCTATATAGAACAAAGTTATTATTTTATTTCATTTTATCCTTCAACTCGAATGAACCGCCAACTTATACAGCATATGTTTTATTCAGCAAACGCCCTTCCAGCTGCAACCCATCACTGGGAAACACTCATACACACTCATTCAGACACATACACTGTGGCCAATTTAGTTTGGACTGTGGGGGAAATCAGAGCACCCGGAAGAAAACCACACAAACACCGAAAGAAACTCCACACAGAAACGCCATCTGACCCAGCTGGGACTCGAACCAGCAACCTTCTTGCTGTGAGGCAACAGTGCTAGCCACTGAGCCACCGCGTCACCCCAAATATATTATTTATTTTATTTTACATTTTTGAATTCATTCATTTGCATTCAAGCTTCATTGTGGATGTGATAGTGGCACTTGAGTGACTTTGGTAAATCAAATCAAATAGTTTGAAAATGTTGACAGAGACACATTTCTACAATATAAGGCTTTACAAACAACTTAGAAACTGTTTCACTGTTTTGGTAAAAACTTTTTTTTTAAGGCAAGGCTGACATTTCCGTACAGTATATGTCCAAGTTTTCTTTTGTTTTATTTGTAGCATTTTAAATGTTTTAAAATAAGCTTCTCCTGGTCACCAAAGCTGCATTTATTTAATCAAAAATACACTACAAATTGTGTGTGTGTGTGTGTGTGTATATATATATATATATATATATATATATATATATATATATATATATATATATATATATATATATATATATATATATATATATATACATACATAATAACTGTTCAAATGTAGTTAATAATTTAATTTAGTTATTTATTACAGTGATTTAAAGATGAGTTTTCAGCTTTATTACTCCAGTCTTCAGTCACACGATCCTTTAGAAAGCACTCTTATATTAATTATTATTATTATTATTAATGGTAATAGTAATAAAAACACTAATGACTGGAGTAATAATTTTATTTAAAACGACATACAATAAGAAAGCATTTATTTCAAATTTTTATAAATATATTTTTTATATATAAAAATATAATAAATAAAAATGTAATCAAAATAAATTTAAAATTTTGTTTTACATTTAATAAATGCAGCCTTGATGAACAGAATAATAAAAAAATAAAGAAAAGAAGAAAAAAAAAACGGTAGTTTGACCGATAGTGTAAATGAAGAAATAATCCCTCACATCATACCATCAAGTTCTGTATGCACAATAATGCTTATGATTTTATGGCTTGTAGATAAAAACAAAAACAAAACATCCCTTAAAATATAAAACAGAGCTGAACTATTATAATCAAAACAGTCAATTGTTGTAGTAAAATCCATCAAGCCTGTAAAGCAAAGAAATCAGTATTTTTCAATCATGATGTTAGCAGCACAAAGCAGAAGCAAGAGACATACAGCAAATGAACAGAAAGTTATTACTTTTTGTTATGTAACTAGTCAGACCCCATCACTCACCGCCGTCCAGCACTCTGTCTGCTAAAAGATATGGCAGCTTTTAAAATATATGCACACTCTAAATATAGAAGATGATGTCATTATGTCACATGGGCAAATAAAAAAGACAGAAAAAACGTAAAGGATTGAACTAAAATTGACTAAAGTTTATGGTTATCTTTAATGTTTCAAATAACATTTGTGATGAAACGTCAAAGAAGGGTGATTACATTTTCATTTATTGTGTAACAGCTACATTGCTCAGCATATATAAGTACAACCCTCACAAATCTGTCTTAAAAATTCTTATTTTTAATAGGAAGCTGTACAATATTATATTTGTGCATATACAGTTGAAGTCAGAATTAATAGCCCCCCTGAATTATTAGCCCTCCTGTTTACTTTTTCCCAATTTCTGTTTAACAGAGACCATGATGACCGTAAATAATATTTGACTAGATATTTTTCAAGACACTTCTATACAGCTTAAAGTGACTTGGTTAACTGGGTTAATTAGGTTAGGGCAGGTTAGGGTAACTATGCAAGTTATTGTATAACAATGTTTTTTTTCTGTAGACTGTTGAAAAAAATTAGCTAAAAGTGGCTAATAATTTTGTCCTTAAAAGGGTGTTTAAAAAATTAATAACTGCTTTTATTCTAGCTGAAATAAAACAAATAAGACTTTCTCCAGAAGAAAAAAAAACATTATCAGACATACTGTGAAAATTTCCTTGCTCTGTTAAACCTAATTTGGGAAATATTTAAAACAGCAAAAACAAAACAAAGGTGGGCTAATAATTCAGACTTCAACTGTACATCAGATTAGTCAGTACTGAAGCCAAACCTGAAGCTCATTTAACAAAATAACTTACGATAATGGTATCGATGATCGAAAAACTTACCATAATGGTTTTTAAAATGGTTATAAAAAAGGGAAAAAATCAAGCAAAGCAAAGAAAAAATAACATTTAGTTGAAATTTTTTAGTGTATTTTTTTTTTTGCAATATTTTGCTTGAATTTATTATTATTAGCTTTTAATTTTTTAATATGTTTGGTGACTAAAATATTATTTAAAAAATATATCTGCTTAACAAATTTGTTTTGTTTAAATGCACCAAAATACATTGCCTATAATCAATGAGAAACTGAGAAAAATAAAAAATAAATAAAAAACGGGGTGTACTCATATATGCTGAGCACTGTATATTAATCTAAAATGTGACATCTTATTATTCTTACCAATGCTTGTCAGAATATATAAAACTATACCCATATTGCTCAGCATAAATTAGCACACCCCTCACAGATCCCCCTTTTAAATTAATCTTTTCTACAAGATGCTTTACAAGTGTGTGTGTGTGTGTGTGTTTGTGTGTATGTAACATTTTAGTCACCATATATATATATATATATATATATATATATATATATATATATATATCACAAAATAGTATTATATAATAAAAATAAAAGATCACAGTCCAAAACATAGTACACATAAATTAATAATGTTGGGAGAAAATATTTAATAAAATGTTAATAAACAAAAAAAATCAAGATAAACTTAAAAAAATATCAGATTTAGATTAAATTTTGTAGTTTATATTTTTTGCAATAAAGATATATATATATAGTGACACTGTGGCTCAGTGGTTAGCTACTGGGGGTAACACGTTCGCCTCACAGCATTTCTGTGTAGAGTTTGGATGTTCTCCCTATATGTTGCCATGGGTTTCCTCTCACTACTCTGGTTTCCCTCACAAGTCCAAAGACATGCACTATAGGTGAATTGAATAAACAAAATCGGCTCTAGTGTATGAGTGTGAATGAGTGTGAATGGATGTTTCCCAGGACTGTTGTGGCTGGAAGGTCATCCACTGTGTAAAATGTGCTAGAAAAGTTGGCGGTTCATTTTGCTGTGGCAACCTCTGATGAATGAAGGGACTAAGCCAAAGAAATATGAATACATTATATATATATATATATATATATATATATATATATATATATATATATATATATATATATATATATATATATATATAATTTTTTCCCCAATTTTTGTTTAACGGAGAGCAAATTTTTTTTAACACATTTCTAAACATAATAGTTTTAATAACTAATTTCTAATAACTGATTTATTTTATCTTTGTAATGATGACAGTAAATAATATTTGACTAGATATTTTTCAAGACACTTCTTTACAGCTTAAAGAGACATTTAAAGGCTTAACTAAGTTTATTAGGTTAACTAGGCAGGTTAGGATAATAAGGCACTTGCACATTGGGCACATTGTTTTATTGTTTGTTAAGTAGACTATTGAAAAACAATATAGCTTAAATGGGCTAATAATTTTGACCTTAAAATGGGTTTTTTAAAAATTAAAAACTGCTTTCATTTTAGCTGAAATAAAACAAATACGATTTTCTCCAGGAGACAAAATATTATCAGACATACTGTGAAAATTTCCTTGCTCTGTTAAACATCATTAGGGAAATTTTTAAAAAAGAAAACAATTCAAAAGGGGGCCAATAATTCTGACTTCAACTGTTTATAGACAATTGTATAAACAAGCAGTTTTTTAATATTTTGAAATATACAGTATGTTGCACACACGCATTTTATGTCTGCAATATCCAAATCGAACTACTTTATCATGTCATACACATAATTTGCACATATTTCCATACATCAGATCTCTATTTGGGTAAAGTTACACTATTCAAAATAAGTTTCACATGGATTCACTGGACATCTTTGACCGAATTGCTTTTGAATGGTAGACTATACATTCTCTCCTTGCACACCGTACACAAGTACCTTTTCAAGTATTTACAAAAGGTTTGATCCCTCACGCCATACACAATAGGACTGATGAACCTGGGCATTACCTGGATTATGATGTAACTTAAAAAAGTCCTTTCCACGATAAACGCCGGAAACACTTCTGCAAGTACCTTGTCCACTATAGGCCCGATGAATGTTAGCATGCAGATCAGAAGCTGGATCCCATGTAGGAGAATAGTGCTCCTGGCTTTGCGAGCGTCTGAGTTTTTGGCTGTCGCGACATACATGATCTTCACATAAGTAAACACAATAATAATGCTCACAAAGATCAAGTAAATAACGTACACAGCAGTTCTCTTTTCCAGCATGTGAGCATTACTAAACACAGTATCTCTGATGCAGAAGATGTTGCTGTAGAAAAAGCTCGGCGGTTGTGAAGCAATCAGCAGGAACAGCTCTGGGAAAACATCGATGGCGCTCAGGACCCAAATTAGACTGATTAGGATGTAAGTTTTACGTACAGTACAGATCTGAGCATGGCGCAAAGGGTTGCAGATAGCTATGTATCTCTCTATAGCCATGACGGCGAGATTCAATGGCGTGTTGAGAGTCGTAAACATAACAGTCATCAACAGAACGCAACAGAATGACACATTGAACGTAAACACGACGTAGCTTAAAACGTGAAGGAGGACTGTGATTATGAGCTGAACGATGTCGTTGAGCACCATGTGGATGAAGAGAATGTAGCGAGGGTTTCCGTTGAAGATCTCATGCTTGATGAAGGTGTGGACGAGGGTGCCGTTGACATAGTTGATGGAGATGCATAAGCCCACAACTATTACGTTCCTAGCCACCGCTGAGCTGAAGCTGTCCCGTAAAACCCGGCCTTGTGTAACGTTACTCACCAGTGTAATGTTCATCTTTTGATAGCAGCTGGAAGTAAAAACAAAGAACATTTAAGGTTAAACATCAAACATCTAATAGACGTCTTATAGACATCCAAACACACGCACTGGCTAAAACAATGCTAACTTCGGACTGTCAGTGAAAATCTGACTTCAAATATAGATTAGCGAATGACTAAACATGTCTAATCTGTCTATTGATGACTGTAGTCTATTTTTGGATGTTTAAAATTTAGTCCTGTTTTAACTGAGATGTCTGTTCATCACAATACATCAAGATTTAAGAACTAGCAGACTGTCATTGTGTCATTACACAAGGAAAAAAACATCAGACCGATTAAAGAATGGCATTAAAATCAGATGTGTTTACAGCAATACCTCCGAAGCCTTTCCAGTCTGTTGTGAAAGGAAGCTGGCGAGAAATCTCTATTTATACCATGTGTTTTGCATTAAGGGAATAGGGGTTGGTCGCTCCTTTGTGATCCTATAGAACTGCGCATGTCAAAAAAAAAGATACTTAGCTTTTCAGCAATGTAGTTTTATTGTCATGATCGGACCACCCAGCAGCAACCTTGATGCCAAAACATCACATTTACATCAGGCATATCAAAAAACACATCAAAAATGCCAAACCCAAACCTTGACGTTTACACATTGATGTTCTTTTTACCAACACCAGGTATTGGAACGCTTCAGCTCCAAATGACACATTTGATTTTGTATCCCTAAAACGAACGTAAAACATACCTTGATGTCAAAATGACATCAAATTGCCATCGTGTTAAAATGCGTGTCAACAATTTATTACAATTATTAAAAATGACAATGTTTGATGTTGTTTTGAAATGGGTAGGCTAAATTGTGCGTAGTGTATGATTGTGTGTGTGAATGTGTGTGTGTGGATGTTTCCCAGAGATGGGTTGCGGCTGGAAGGGCATCCGCTGCGTAAAAACTTGCTGGATAAGTTAGTGGTTCATTCCGCCGTGGCGACCCCGGATTAATAAAGGGACTAAGCCGACAAGAAAATGAATGAATGATGTCGTTTTGTCATTTTTGGTGTTGTTTTGACAGCAAGACGCCTTGAGGTAGGGATGTCCCAATTAGGTTTTTTTGCCCTTCAGTCCAAGTCTGAGTCATTTGATTTTAAGTATCTGCTGATACTGAAATCTGATACTTCTATAATACATTAAAAAAAGAATAAAGAAGAGTGAAGAAACAGATCCAGGATGTTCCTTATGTTTTATTTAATTCACCTTATTTTAACATTTAACAACTCTGTTAACAAACAGAGCACTTCTGTGAGGTAGTTTGAACAATCAAGTAATAAATAACATCAATTCTTCACTTTTGGACTTATAATGCAAAAAATCGAATATAAAAACAAAGAGCACCTTAACTTAAAACACCTGGCAGACACTTCCAAGTTTACATATCTCACAGTTTGCTATGGAAATCTTGTCGTCATCAACTTTATAATACCTCCAGACCACAGACATACTCGCGCTTTC